AGGCAAGCAAATAAAAAAATGTACTGAAACAAAGACAGAAGATGGGGGTGTGAGGAGAGAGGAAAAAAAGATAAAAGTATAGAGACATAGACATTTAGGACATACTCAAAAGTTCTAACATATGTGTAATTAGAGTCTAAAAGAAGAGAGAATGACATAGAAGAGATATTTGAGGAGTTCAGTGCTTGATTTTTTATAGATTCCACTTACTAGTTGAAATTCTTCAGTTTTTTGTCTTTTTCTTCCATCCTTTTTTCTTTAACATATTAACTATACTTACATAAAAATCCCTGCCAACTCCAATATCTAGGTCACTGGCATGTCTGCTTCTCTTGTTTTTTCTCTTAGTTATTGATTATATAATCCTGTTCTTCACATGCTTAGTAATTTTCTTTATTGTATGCCAGACATTATATTTAAAAGAACCACAGGGGCCCCAGGTGATGTTACCTTCTACCAGAAAGAGTGTCTCTTTTCCTCTGTTAGTTTGAGGGGCTAATCACCTCAGTACAGTCACAGATGTAGCTGGGTCAGAGCTAGTTTGAATTTTTGATAAGACTCAGTTTACCTCTGTTTAGCCTTTGTATTTTGGATATGACTCTCATAAGCTTTTAAATCTGAGGGCTTGATAGGTCCTAGTCTCCCTACCTGCTGCCCCATGCAGCTTCAAATTTTGACAAATGGCTTGAGGAAGAGACTGGCCATGTCTTTTATGCAGTTACCCATCCCTGGTGGGTTTTTCATTCCTAAGCACCCCAGACACTGCAGATATTTCACTCTGCCTTTTAGAACCTTTTAGAACCTTTTAGTGAAGCTCCCCAATCTCCTGCAGTTTTAAAACTCAGCAAATATCCCATGGGGGAGAACCAGCTGTGCATTTGAAGCTTTTCAAGTTTCCAATCTGCCACCCCAACCCCAAGTGACCACTATAACTTTTGTGACTTCTCTTTCCCCCAGCAAAGGCCCTTTGCCTGGGCCAAGCCCAAAATTCAGCCCACATCCAAAATCAGTAAATGCTTACAGGGGGTAAAAAATAGGCTGTGATTATCAGGTCACCTCGGAAGGGTCCCCTCTTTGGAATTTTGGTTCATCTAGTCCTCACTGCTTCCACAGCTCTATGATGCCTTTATTTTTTTTATTTTATTTTTTTTTTAAAGATTTTATTTATTTTATTTTTTCCCCCCAAAGCCCCAGTGGATATTTGTATGTCGTAGCTGCACATCCTTCTAGTTGCTGTATGCGGGACTCGGCCTCAGGATGAACAGAGAAGTGGTGCCTCGATGCACACCCGGGATCCGAACCCGGGCCACCAGCATCGCAGCGCGCGCACTTAACCACCAAGCCACAGGGCCGGCCCTATGATGCCTTTAAAAATACGATTTTAGGGGCCTGGTCTGGTGGCATAGTGGTTAAGTTCACGTGCTCCACTTTGGCAGCCGGTGGTTCGCAGGTTCACATCCTGGGCACGGACCTATACACTGCTCATCAGGCCATGCTGTGGCGGTGTCCCACACACAAAATAGAGGAAGATGGGCACAGATGTTAGCTCAGAGCTAATCTTCCTCAAGCAAAGAGGAAGATTAGCAACAGATGCTATCTTAGGGCCCATCTTCTTCCCCAAAAAGTAAAACATATATGATTTTCGTAATTTATCTTTATCTGGTTGCTGCTACAATACTGCATCCTATCTAAAAGCAGACTTTCTGAAGATATAAATAGCAGGTAAACTCACCACATAGTAACAACATTGCATTCAGCTGAAGGGGTAACAGTAAAACGAGTTGCAACCATATTTGACATGCACGGCTGCATGACAGTGCATCTGGGAGTGTGCCAAAGGGTGACAGTCAGCTGAACACTTAGTTTGATTGTATATGAGAGAATTACTCTGAAGGTAAGCTCAAAATAATTCAGAAAAAGTTTCACACAGAATTATATAGGGAGTCATATTCCAGAAAAGATTCCATGTGTTACGTGGAAGATTAGCTAATGTGCTCTTCTATAAAGGACAGACATGTTCACTGGGAGTATGATGCTTTTATAATGTATGGATAATTGAATAATCATGACAACAGTGATAAAAGTACTGTTAACTGTCTCAGAGTTATAAATAATGGTTGCATCCCTGAGTGTTTCACATAAATTTTACACATCTTGAATATGCAAACCTAGAAAAATTGTGTCTGAAATACAAACTTCTTATACTACATAGATCAAAATGTTCAAACTGGAAGTTTACCCCTTCACATATGTTGAGATGGTCACACTGCATATCACCATTGAGTCTCTGTCTCAACAGTACAATACAAATTAAAACTGCAATAATGTTTTGTTTAAAGTGCAATATCAGGCCCCGTGGCTTGGTGGTTAAGTGAGCGCGCTCCACTGCTGGCGACCCGGGTTCAGATCCCGGGCTCGCACTGACGCGCTGCTTCTCCGGCCATGCTGAGGCTGCGTCCCACATACAGCAACTAGAAGGATGTGCAGCTATGACACACAACTATCTACTGGGGCTTTGGGGGGAAAAATGAATAAATAAAATCTTTAAAAAAAAAAAAAATAAAGTGCAATATCATATACTTTTTTCCTACTGTTTGCTTTTAGATCTTAGTATGTCTGGCTATTGTAACTGAATTTCATCTTGAAAAACAGCGAACATTTTTTTAGTTTCTGCTACCTCTGGAAAGCACCACAGCTTATAAAAAATGATTATGTTAACTATGGAAAGATGTAACACAGATTTGTGTGCTAAAATTGAGTGAAAGAAAGCAACTATGAACCTTGCCAGCACCTTCTTGCTGTGACAAATAAAGCATACTGTATAAATAAAAATATCCACAAACTATTCACTTTCCTTTTTCAGTGGCAGCAGTATTTTGACATTTTACTATATAATCTAGGAGTTATCTGTATTTTAATTTAATATATTTAATACATTATCTGTATTTTAATTAAAAATAATAGCATCGTTTTTATTTTCTGAAACATCTTACCACAGATTAATGAGAGGACTTTTAGATGAGTTATGTAGTTCAGGATGATGTTACATGAAGGGAATTTTAGGGGAATGTTCTTATTTCTGACAACATGATTCAGGTAATATATCTGGTGAGCTGGACTACCTGCAAAGGGACCCCCTGTCTGATTGCCCCTCCCTTACCTGATCAGAGGCCTCTTCTCACTTTTTTCCTCCATCATTCTTGACTCTTTCCCTTGCTCCACAAAGGAAGTCACACTTGGTTTAGAAATAGAAAGTCCTGCTTACAAGTGTGACAAAATACTTCAAAATATTTATTATGTTTTTTCCTAGATCCAGACCCAATCTCTTAGTAAAGGGAAGAGAAGCTATTACAAGAAGAACAATAGCAGGAGGAAGAATGCAAGCCACTTCCTACTTCTGCCGATTTTAAATCATTTCTTCAAGAACATGGAGTAGGAATTCAGCCAGGCAACTTAGAGCCCACCCTGATATTTCCTATGGAGAAAGCAGATACCTAAATTCAGTAACCTTCTCAGACCAGGTTCCCACAGTTCTGCATCATTACATTTCCATATAAATTATTTTGGGCAGGGTCCAGTCAGCCCCATTCCTCCTGAGGTCTATGGCCACATCCCTGAACCTTACAAACCTCTGAAATGACAAAAACACTCTTGTTCACCAAAGACCCACACGTGGTGCTAGGGAAAGTAATAATGCTGGCCACACTGTAAGGGAAGATTTGTGTAACACAGTGGTTCTGGTAAAGTTTGAGGCCTTGAGTAATTCTAGAAAAGTAATTATTAGGCACTAGCTATGTGTTGTTATGTCACATTGAGTGGGGAAAATGCCAGCCTCTCATTTTGTGAAAGAAAATTTATATATATATGAAAAAATATACTTAAATGAGGCACTTATTCAAGTGCTAAATTACATACTACATATACTAAATGCAAGGGAAGTTCTTAAAAGGAGGCAGTCAGATGCTTCCAAGATAAGGTAAACCTTTAATTGGGACATTAAAAAGCAGGCAAGGTGTACATGGAAAGTGAAAACATAATCTGATTTATTTTGACAAATGTGTGCTTACAAAAGAAATGTTCTCACTGTAAATGGAACAAAGGAGGAAGACTACCTTGGCATCTTCCTGTGGTGTGCCTTATTTACATTTATTTCAGGCTAAGGCATGTCTAGTCAGATTCAAGGATAAAAATGAGTTAGTATAACCCTAAATCCAAACTCTATCTCAAAGTTAAAACCAAAAGTACCTAAAAATGTTTTTATAATTATGTTTGTATAGTGTTGCTACAAAAGCACACTACTCTTCATTATTGAAGTCAATACTGTGGTAGTTGTCTTTTCACAATCATATATGCTGTGGGAAAAACCTCAGCAAGTACCAGATTAATTTACTATAAATCAAAAGATTTATTCATAGTGTTCTTTTCTGAATTTGCTTTAAAAAAAAAAATTCCAGGGCTGACCCCGTGGCGTAGCAGTTAAGCGCGCATGCTCTGCTGCTGGCAGCCCAGGGTTGGATCCTGGATGTGCACCGATGCACTGCTTGTCAGGCCATGCTGTGGCAGCGCCACATATAAAGTGGAGGAAGATGGGCACAGATGTTAACCCAGGGCCAGTCTTCCTCAGCAAAAAGGGGAGGATTAGCATGGATGTTAGCTCAGGGCTAATCTTCTTCACACACAAAAAAAATTACCCCCCTAAAAAACTCTTTCCCAAACTGACTCCGTCTAGTATGACTTCTCAGAACTCTTTAAGATTTTGCCACACTCATTACAATGGTAGTTTTTTCCCATTTAATTCTGTAGGTTTGAAATATTGCAAAGTCACCCTATATTCAGTTCATTTACAGGGTTGCCTTTTCTCTTTAGAAGAGTGTTATAAAGTTTAATAAATATTACATGGTACACAAAGCTGTTCTCAAATCACTGGTTTTTTATGCCTTTGCTTCATTATGAATTTTCTGACGTCCATGAAAAAGGGCACCCTTACTCATGTGTTCTGTCCTGCTTGAGCTGACAGATGCAGAATGAGGGCCAATATCTAATGAAAAGCTTTCTCACATTTATTGGACATGGGTCCTTCCCTGGCAGGAATTTACAAATGTAGAATAAGGGAATCCTGCCGGATGAAGAGTCTTCTCAATACTGATTGATGTCATCTTCTGATATTACAGAAAGAACAAGCAGCTGTTTGTTACTGGCTTTCCCACACATTCCTGGGGTTTTTCTCCAGGATGTTGAATAAAGCATGGACCACATTTCTTCACATTCAACATATTCACATAAGGCTTCTTTCTAAGAATTCTCTGAAGTCAAAGTAAGGCATTAACTGCTTTTTTAATTTAATTCCATACGTTCTTAGGTTTTCTATACAGTGTGAATTCCCTGGTGTTCAGTAAGGAATGAGTGGTAATTAAATGAATTTTCATATTCATAGGGATTCTCTACAGTATGTGTTCTCTGATGTTTAGCAAGGTTTGAGCTCCAGCTGAAGGATTTATTACATACCTTACATACATAGGGTTTCTCCCCAGTATGAGTTATCTGATGTAGAATGAGGGAAAAGCTCCGACTAAAGGTTTTGTCGCATTCAGTACATGCATAGGGTTTTTCTCCAGTATGAATTTTCATATGTTGCATAAGGGACGCATGCCATGTGAAAACTTTACCACATTCATCACATTCATAGAGCTTTTCTCCAGCATGAATTCTCTGATGTTTAATAAGGAATGAGTGACAACGGAAGGCCTTCCTACATTCGTTACATTCATAGGGGGTTTTGGCAGTATGGATGCTCTGATGTCGAGTAAGGTGTGAAGAACGGCGAAATGCCTTCCCACATTCAATGCATTCATAAGGTTTCTCTCCAGTATGTGTAATCTGATGGCGAATGAGTTCTGAGCCACTGCTGAAGGCCTTCCCACATTTCCTACACATATATTGCTTCTTTCCTATGTGAATTCTCTGATGTCGAGTGAGGTTGGAGGCACGACTAAAGGCCTTTCCACATTCGGTACATTCATATGGTTTCTCCCCAGTATGTGTTCTTTGGTGTTCAATGAGAAATGAAAGGTAACTAAATGTTTTATTACAGTCCTTACACTCATGGGGTTTCTTTCCAGTATGTATCATCTGATGTTTCACAAGGTTTGAGATCTGGCTAAAGGTTTTGCCACATTCCTTACATACATAGGGTTTCTCTCCAGTATGAGTTCTCTGATGTAACACAAGGGAAAAGCGCCGACTGAAAGTTTTTCCACATTCGTGGCATCCATAGGGCCTCTCCACAGTATTGATACTCATGTGTTGAGACAGGGCTTCTTGATGAGAGACTGTCACTTGCCTAATACATCCTTGATTTCCTCGCAGCATTTCAGTAGCATCCTCATATTTCCAGCCTCCTTTAAAACTGGAAGACTCAGGGCCTTGGCTTAGACTTCTTTCCATTATCAAATACTGGGATGAATCACCTTCATATATGAATTTTTTGGGAGAAAATGCTTCAATCTCACTATTTGACTCTGAAACTGAAACAACAAGGCAAAAGTTTTTTTTTCTGTATTGAGTAAAGTATAAGTCACTACTCCTTTTTTTTTTTTTTGTGAGCAAGATTAGCCCTGAGCTAACATCTGTTGCCAATCCTACTCCTTTTGCTGAGGAAGACTGGCCCTGGGCTAACATCTGTGCCCATCTTCCTCTACTGTATATGTGGGACGCCTGCCACAGCATGGCTTGATAAGCAGTACATAGGTCCACACCCGGGATCCAAACCTGTGAAGCCTGGGCCACTGAAGCAGAGTGCGCAAACTTAACCACTATGCCACTGGGCCAGCCCCCAACTCCTGCTTTTTTAAATGAGAGAACTGAATGGAAAAAAAAATCTTAGCATTCCATGGCTTTCATAATTGTCATATATGACTCTGAAACCTGAGCAGTGTGCCCAGAAATTTAGAAGACATATCAAACAGAGGAGAGATGTAGGTGAATAGGGAGAAAGACTAAATATAAGTAACTGAAGGTGAGAGGAAAACAGAACTATCAGGAAGATAAGTATTTGAGAAGGACAGGTGGCTAGTCTTCCTCACCTCCATTTAAACTTTATTTACTGCCAGAATGACCTGAAAATGACAATTTCATAATGTTGCTAATAAACTACAAGTGTCCCTCAGGTCCCATAAAGATACCAGACTCTCTTCACTTAGTGCCTTTGAAACACCTTACAGTAACTTATTCTACATAAATAAATGTTTCTCTGAAAACTATCTTCTAAGATCCTTGCTCTAACTCTATTTTCCAAACTGATATCTGAAGCTCAACTTTGGTATAACAGTGTCTTTCCATCAAATGCTTTTGATAAACATAGGCCCTCATTTTCTCTAGGCTAAATTTTAGGAAGGGACTTTTTCCTGTTTTGGGGGACAGAATTTTATGATAATAGGAAGATTCTTTTCAAAAAACATATTCTTATCTCTTTAGTCTTAGGAAAGAAGAAGAGATAAAAGGCCATGATGTATAGGATTTATTCTCAAATGTTTCAGGAAAAAAACTATGTACCAAATGATAAAGCAAATGGGGCAAAATGTTAGCAATGGGTGGATGTGAGTAAAGGGCATATGGGTATTCTTTGTACTATTTCTGCAGCTTTTCTGGAAGTTTAAAATTATTTCCAAATAACATTAAAAAATTCATTTTTCTCTAAAACACACTTTGACATTTATTTTGTTTGTGGGGGAATGCTATCTTTTATTATGACTGACTTTAACCTTCTAAGGAAAAGTAAATAGAACTCATATTTCTTTAATACATATCTAAGCAATGAATCAAGATCTATACCTATATGGTAGGCACATAAAAATGAAAGATTAGGACAGGGAAGGCAGTGAAATAGCTGTTAAGAAAATGATGATCTCAATGAAGGGAAAACCTTCAATTACTTTCTTGACTTCTATAAACCAATTCCATATCTACTCAGTACCTCAGTAAGAGCTCTGGGGATATAAACTCAATAATTCTCTTCAGGAGCTGAGAATATAAATATGGAGATAAAGAGGGCACAGGAGAAAACAATTAATGATATAAGAAATGAGAGTAAGTTCATTATATTTAGAGTAAAAATTGTATAAAGGCTCAGAGACAAGATATAAAAATCCACTGCAAGAGACAAAGAAAGGCTTCATCTAGAAAGGCCTCACTGAGGAAACTAGTTGGGAACTGAAATACAGCAGGACATAGACCAGGTGAACCTGGACATTTAATGAGATTAGAAAAAGCTGTTGGAGTTAGCTGCCTAGATTTAGTATATTATTTGCCATATGATTTCCCAGACCAATGAGATTAAAAAGCACAACCAAGAAAACCAGGTTCAACATATGAGTAGAATGCTAATTATATATCCCTTACCCCTCTTCCCTCACTCAGTCACCTCACCTCTTCCCATCACCTACTATGCCCAGACTTTTTGGTAGATGCCAAATGGATTTGATAAAATTTAGCACTTATACTTATTAAAAGCCTAGAGGGATACAAGAATTCATTCTTAGTAACAAAGGATTCCTATGATAAATCAGCAATATACTCAAAACAAAATTTTTAGATGTATTTGCTCTTTTCTTATGGAAAAAACACAAATATCCTCTATCACCACTATTACTTAAGATCATTGAGAAAGTACTTACTATGGTATAAATACAAGCAAAGGAATTTTGGAAAACAAGCTTGTGAAAATCACTGCAGAGAGACTTCTGGTTTCTGGTCCTGCACATAAGAAGCTTAGAAGTCACCACTCCACTCTGTACTAACAACAAGTAAAAAGCTGAACAGAAACATCAACCACTCTTCTTAGATCTGTCAGAGAAGTGGGGACAAAGGGCAAACTGCTACCCCAAAACTGGAGAAACAGACAGGAGGACACAGAGAATCACAACTTATCGAGCAGAAGCCTCTGCAGGAATCAGTGCTGGGACAGGAAAATCGGAACTGTTATTGATGAATAGCTCAGTATTGGTAAGTCTGTGAGTTAAAAACTCCAAGGGGACCCAGTCATAGTGGGACCCCCACCCCCGCACTTGTGTGAGTTTTACCTTCAGTAGTTCTACCAGGTCTTCACAGTGAATATCAAAGGAAAATCCCCTCATGCTTCTGGCAGGGGAGGAGAAAAGGAACCATCCTGAAATATGCCAGAGCATTCTATTCTCATTAACAAAGTGCTCTCAGGAGAAACTATTTTACCAGAGCCTAACACACCTGGGAGAAGAGAAATACTCAACTCCAGCTCCTTCTAGTCATCCTGTCGCACATAAGTGGGGAAAAAAATTGAGAAGCACTGGTGAAGTTCACAGTTCAGGGGCACAGGCTCACCAAAAAACTGAGACTTAATCATACAACTGTAGATTGCTTCCCCTCCCCCAAGAGCTTACCACATCACGAAAGGCCTATTTACCACAGTTCCTTTTACCGTACATCATATCCACCTTTCAAATAAAACTACAAAGCATACTAAAAGAAAAAGAAACAGTCTGAAGAGACGGAACAAGCATCAGAACCAGAGTTAGATATGGCAGCAATGTTGGAATTCAGATCAGGAATTTTAAAAAGCTATGATTAATATGCTAAGAGCTTTAATGGAAAAAGTAGACAACATGCAAGAATAGATGACTAATGTAAGCAGAGAGATGGAAATTCTAAGAAAGAGTCAAAAGGAAATCCTAGTGAGGAGGCAAAGCCAAGATGGCGGCATAGGCAGACTCTGAACTCACCTCCTCCTGCGGACACAGCCAATTTACAACTACTCGTGGAAAAATTACCCGAGACAGAACTGCAAACTGGATAAGAGGAACTCCTGCAACAATGGACAATCCTAACTGAGGTAGAAGAGGCAGAAACTCCCTTCTGGAGAGGAAAAACGCCACCTTGACAAGCTGCCAGCTTCACAGCAGCCCAGGAGCAGCCCAAAGGTACGCAGCCCTCCCTGGAGGCGCGGGGCCCTGAGCTGGGGAGTGCCCCCGCTGTGGGCATTGTGTGGAACCAGCACAGTCGAGACAAGTGGCATAACATCTGACTTTGCCTGCTACTAAAACATTGTAGAGTACCTCCAGAAAAGCTGGTTGACAAAAAAATTAAAACTGGCTCTTAAACGGCCCACGCGCAAACTCACCCGTTTCAGAAAGCAACCTAAAATCACCAAAAAGAAAGGTGCACAGTGCTGTGGTGAAAAGAGACTCACCTAATAGGTCCTGAGTGCATCTCGGTGAGAGGTGAGACCTCTCCAGGGACTGGGACATTGG